GAGCGCTCTGCCAGGATAACAGGATCTGGTGTCACTCTGGCCCCAGCATCACTGAAAGACACGCGAGGGAGCACTGCAGGAAGACCATGAAGATTTCAGCATCTCCATACTGGGCCCAAGGTAGTGCGCCCACACCAGGTCCACTAGGCTGGGCTGGGCAATTTGAGCTACAGTAGCTCATCTGTGTGATCGGACCAGATGGACTAGCCTTCGTTCCCCACATCCATCAATGAGCCTTGGCTTGGGTGCCCATGACCCTGATACCGGTTTACCAGCTTCCTGGCACCCATTTTGGTAGGTACAAACTACTGTTTAATAGTAACAGCCCACAAGACTTCGCCTTTTGGAAATGATCTGACCCAGTCGTCTGGCCATCACTATTTGGCCCTTGTCAAAGTCACTCAGATCTTATCACTTGCTCATTTTTCCTGCCTTCAAAGTTTAGGTTTGGTTATAGGACAAAAAACATTATTTTGACATACTACAAAAGGAGGAAGGACCACACTCACTTACTGAGGCAAGACCAGCAAATCCTTAGTATACGATATATCCAAAAAGAGGCTTCAGGCACCAGGCCCGGACTGGCCATCGGGCACACCGGGCAAATGTTATCTGAGCGCTGGCCCCACAGATCTCCCTCAAAGATCTCCCTCACTGGCCCACCGGCAGTTACATGCGACTGCCTTCTGGGAGGGAATAAGACAAGAGAGGACCCAGAGGAGCGCTATCTTGCAGCTCAACTTGGTCCCTCTCGCGAAATCATAGGCTAGAGTTCACTCACCACTAGGACCACCAGGGATGGCAGCACTGTCCCCCCTCCCAGGTAAGCTTATTTTTAATTAATATATATTGATAATAATCTGCCCCCCACAACACACAAGCCCTCCAAACATATTTACACACCAGCACACTCACTTACACACACTGCACCCCTGACACTCACAGCACCCTCACTCACACACACACTGCACCCCTGACACTCACAGCACCCTCACTCACACACACTGCACCCCTGACACTCACAGAACCTCCCACACTCACAGCACCCTCACTCACACACAATGCACCCATGACACTCACAGCACCCTCACTCACACACACACTGCACCCCTGACACTCACAGAACCTCCCTCACACACACTCACAGCACCCTCACTCACACACAATTCACCCATGACACTAGCAGCACCCTCACTTACAGACACACACACACTGCACCCCTGACACTCACAGCACCCTCACTCACACACTCACAGTAACCCTGCCACTCACAGCATCTCACACACACTACACCCTGACACTCACAACACCCTCACACACACACACACACACAGCACCCTCATTCACACACTCTGCACCTCTGACACTCACACACACACACACACACACACTGCACCCCTGACACTCACAGCACCCTTACTCACACACACTGCACCCTAACACTCACAGCACCCTTACTCATACACACTGCACCCCTGACACTCACAGCATCTCACACAAACGGCACCCCTGACACTCACAGCATTCTTACTCACACACACAGCACCCTCACACACACAGCTTCCTCACACACACATAGCACCCTCACACACACTGCACCCTCACTCACACACATCCCACACACAATGAACCCTTCACACACAGCACACACACTGCACCCTTCCCACACACAGCACCCTCACACATACTGCACCACACACACACATATCACCCTCACACACACGCTGCACCCTCACACACACATACTGCACAATACTCTTTCCTTACATTTTTGTCTCCTGGTATCCCATCTATGGAGACACCAGAGACAAATTTCAAGCAAACACAGTGCAAGCATGTTATTAGAAAATGCCTGGGCCGAATTCTCTTTCCAGTACGGCCCTGTCAGGCAATCACAGGGTTCAAATACAAAGCAGTTTTATTGGATCAAAACGTACCTCAAAAGGAGGAAGGATCACGCTCGATTCATAAACTTTTTATACAATAAAACCATTCTGGATTTGAACCCTGTGAGTGCCTGAAACCTCTTCTTGAATACATTGGCGTAGTTACTGTCAGAAAAAAAGGTTAATGTAATTGAGATTGCTGCCACATGATACTGGCTAAAAGTCAGAAAATGCTTTTGACTCGATTAGTGATGGTAGATTGTTATGAAGGCCATAATTTAATTTTTTCTTTTATTCAGAAACCTAAAGGAATACTATAGACATCAAAACAACTTGAGCTCAATGCAGCAATTTTCTGTATAGATCATAACACTGCAGTTTTACTGCTCAATTCAATGCCATTTAGGAGTAAAATCACTTTTGTTTTTGTTTATGCAGCCCTAACCCCATTTTCCTATGTATGTGACTGACGCAGTCTACATGAAAACAAAATGGTTTAATTTTTAATCAGATGTAACTTACTTTAAAAGAGTTTATATCCTCATCTGTAAATTGAACTTTAATCACACACAGGAGGCTCCTGAAGGGTCCAGAATGTTATTAACAAAGCAGGAGATAAGAAATTCTAAATTTAATAGACTGTGCAATAAAGGAAGTGTAAATATTAGATCTCTCTTTACAGGAAGTGTTTAGGAAGGCTGTGCGAGTCACATGCAGGAGGGGGTGACTATTCCTGCATAAACAAAATGCTTTAACTCCTAAATGGCAGAAAATTGAGCAGTGAGACTGCAGGGTTATGGTCTACTCACCCAAACTGCTTCATTAAGTTGTTTTGGTGCCTAAAGTATAATTTTAAGTCTGGCAAGATCTCTATGAACAGTACTATGTATCAAACATGTTTTCTCTTTATTCTATGTATCGTAGAGTCAGAAATGAAACATACCACTAAAACATCAACATCCCAACAGGATACTTCTCAGACGGTAACTTGCTGCTTTAGAAC